AAATCCCAGCCCTCCTCACTCCGGGTCATCCCTGTCTGATGACAGGCTTATTTCCCTCAGTGGACTCCCAGCCCCAGGAGAGTAGGGCCAAGGCTGTCTTTGTCATGACTGTGTCCCAATACCACCCAGCAGAGGGCCGGGGCCAGAGAAGATACTGAATAGATATTTATTGACTGAATGAATGAGTAAATGAACAATTACTTAAAACTCTTCTCTTGCTCCCTGTGGTAGCCAGTCTCCAAGACAGCCCCCAGTAATCCCTACTTTCTGGCATGTATGCCCTTGTGTAGTCCTTTCCCATAGTAGGGCTGCCCTGCCTGGAATGGCTTGTTGGTTGGGCATCTTCCTGAGCACCAGGAAGTTCCTGGTTCAAGGACTGGTCAAGGGCACACGCCTGGGTGGCAGCTCCATTCCCCCGATGGGAAGCATCCTGTGGAAGGCAGCCTATCGATATTTCTCTCTCCCTCTCCCTTTCTCTCTCTCTCAAAATCAATAAACTTAAAAAAATAAAAATAGCCCTAGCCGGTTTGGCTCAGTGGATAGAGCGTCAGCCTGTGAACTGAAAGGTCCCAGGTTCGATTCCGGTCAAGGGCAATTGCCCCAGTTGCGGGCTCAATCCCCAGTGGGGGACTGGCAGGAGGCAGCCGATCCATGATTCTCTCTCATCATGGATGTTTCTATCTCTCTCTCCCTCTTCCTTCCTCTCTGAAACCAATAAGAATATATTTAAAAAAATAAAAGAAAATATAAAAGGAAAAGAATAGGGATGACCCGTGTAACCAAAAGGATACCGTGTAAATGATGGTGTGTGATTTCTGGGCTACCTTGGAAAAGACACTGCAACTTCCCCCAGCTCTGTCTGATCACTGGCTCCGGGGAAGCCAGTTGCCATGTTGTAAGGACACTCAAGCAGCCCCATGGGTCTCCTGTGGGGACTCCTCTGTGTGGCTCTTCTAAGTGTGGGTGATCCTCAGGGTTGTCTCAGGCCCTTTGCATTTCCCACGGTGCACACTCTCTCCCATGGGGATGTTACCTATTGATGTGGCTTCATTTCCACCCACCTGCTGGGAACTCAAACATCTCTCTCCAGGCCAGACATCTCTCTGACCTCCACACCTATATATCCAACTGCACCCTGGAGGCCACCGGGCTATCCCTCAAACACCCGAATCTCTACATGCCCTGAATGAAACGCTCCGTCTTCTCCCCAGGCCTGCTCTTTCTCCTGAATTCCATGTCTCCGAGGTGGCCCCATCCAGCCCTCCGGGGCCGAAACCTGGCCGACTCCTTGATCCTCCACATCTAGGTATCAATGTGGACATTCTACTGATCTGTTTTCTAGATCTTTAGTCCTTTTGCTCTGCTATTTCTGGTCTCTATTAAGCATATCTACCGAGTTCTTAATTTCAGTCACTGTTCTATATTTACTGTTTGACTCTCTTACAGTTTTAAAAAATATATCTTATTCATTTCAGAGAGAGAGAGAGAGAGAGAGAGAGAAACATCAATGATGAGAGAGACTCATTGATCGGCTGCCTCCTGCACACCCCCTATTGGGGAGTGAGCCTGCAACCTGGGCAAGTGCCCTTGACTGGAATCGAACCCAGGACCCTTCAATCAGGAGGACGACACTCTATCCACTGAGCCAAACTAGTTGGGACTCTTTTACATTTTGTTTGTTAATCCTTAGGATATTTTCCCATTGATTTTTACTGAGAGCGGAAGGGAGGGAGAGAGACAGAGAGAGCAAAACATTGATGTGAGAGACACATTGATTGGTTGCCTCCCACATGTGCCTTGACCGGGGCCGGGGACCGAGCCTGCAGCGGAGGTATGTGCCCTTGACCGGAATCTAACCTGAGACCCTTAATTTAGTCTGCAGGCCGATGCTCTATCTACTGAGCCAAACCGGCTCAGATTTCTGCTAAAACTTATCCTTTCCTCTATTTTCTTCAATATATTGATCATAGCTATTGTAAAGTTCCACGTGCAATAACTCCAATATCTGAATGATTACGCTTCTGTTTCTATTGTGGGATTTTCCTCTTGGGTTCCATTGGTCCTTTTTATTTTCTTCAAGCTACCTCGTAAGTGTTGATTAGATGCCAGACATTATAGATGAACGTTTGTAGAGGCTTAAAATGATGT